GTGTGGGGAAGCTTCAGGAATTGCAGGGGCTGCAAGTTTTGTTCAGATCCATTTAAAGTCCTCTAAAGTAATGAAGATTTTTATTTTTAGTGAAATATTTTATAATAAAATAACTTGACTGAGTGGATACAAGGTGAGAACTGATCTAATCAACTAAAACTAATACTTGAAATTAATTATTTCTGAAATAATGTTAACCTTATGTTTGCATATTTACAGTTTCAGTGTAATCTGAATGTTTTTTTTTTTTTTTTACAGTGAGTTTTTACAACAGTGGGCTCAGTTCGGTGGGTAGGGAGGTTCTTCAGATGTTCTGATGAATGTTGGCACCGGGCCTTCTTCCGTCCTCCTCTCGCTTTTTCAAACTTGTCTTTTGTTTCCTCCGGAGCTTTCATCTTCTGCTGCTGACTTTGTGCTGAAACAACCCAGGAGACCCAGAACAACTCTCAACCCCGGCTCAGGTCCTTAGAWATTTTTAACAAGAATAAGAGTTTTGTCGTGTTGTTTTCTAATTTTTATTTTTAGGACAACGGGCCCTGTCCCACGTCTCTGTCTGCACCCACAGATGTCTTGGCCCGCTCTGTACGCTCAGCTGGTTGGGGTGAACCATCACTCCACCTCTCTGGGTAAAATCTGGCTCTCTACACTCTTCATTTTCCGGGTTATGGTTCTGGTTGTTGCTGCGGAGAGCGTCTGGGGGGARGAGCAGTCGGATTTCACCTGTAACACCCTGCAGGTAGGGGAGGGATCATGTTTTGTTATCCTGTAAACCCAGTGTAATCCTTTACATCTGTTAGTTCTCACACATACGTTTCATGACCGCTTGTGTTTCACCACTAAGATAAATATGTTCAATCAGGGCTCTCAAGTTTTAACCTGAGCTTGGAGTGAGATTTCGAGCTGTTGATTCATTTGTGATGTGGACTCAGAGTGGAGTGGGGCTCCTCTCTGCTCTGACTGCAGACAAGGTTTGAGGCTGGTGTGAGACGGASCAGCTGTCAGTGCTTGGGAAAGGGGAGGGGCTCACTCTGAGGATAGTATCTGCAGACTGATTGGTGCTTTCACACGCAAAGTCGCCAAAGTCTCCAATGACAGAAAAATATAAACTTGTCACGTTTTTTGAAGAAAAAAATAAAAACTTCGCCAGAGGGGTCTGAAAACTTGCTAAACATATCAATAAAGTTTCTAAGTTGTTAGTTACAAGTTGCTAGGCTAAAGGCTAACCAAACGATTGTTTATTTTTCAGGCCTTTGAAGGAACTCTTTCTCAAAAACAAACTACCTGTGTGAAATAAATGACACATTCCTTGAGATTAAACATTTACACTTTTGTGGGACATCATTTTTTTAGTTTGTGTAACCAAACAGCATTTAATAAAGTGAAAGCTTTTCAGTTGTGGGAACAACGCTAAACATAAATAAACAACATCTTGCAAAAGCGTAGATATTTAATGTTAGCTAATATGTTGAATACAAATATGAGCTACTCTGKTTTATTTATGTTTTTTCTCAGCCTGGTTGTGAGAACGTCTGCTACGATCAGTACTTTCCTGTGTCCCACGTCCGCCTCTGGTGTCTTCAGCTCGTCTTCGTCTCCACACCAACGCTAATGGTTTCGATGTATGTGGCTTATCGTAACCATGGCGACAAGAGACGGCTCCTCCAGGTACGTCGAACATCATGTCCTGACCTATGTTCACGATGGTCCAATACACAGGGGTTAGACAATGAAACTGAAACACCTGGTTTTAGACCATAACAGCCCTTTCAGACAGCTTCCTCTTGCGTCCACAGTTAATCCTGTTGGATGTGGTTGGTCCTTCTTGGTGGTATGCTGACATTACCCTGGATACTGTGGCTCTTGATACATCACAAAGACTTGCTGTCTTGGTCACAGATGCACCAGCAAGACCAATAATTTGTCCTCTTTTGAACTCGTGTGCATTGCAATATTTTGAGCAAAACTGTGCTCTTACCCTGCTAACTGAACCTTCACTCTCTGCTCTTACTGGTGCAATGAGCAATTAATGAAGATTGGCCACCAGGCTGGTCCAATTTAGCCATGAAACCTCCCACGCTAAAATAACAGGTGTTTCAGTTTCATTGTCTACCCCTTTAAGTCTGTACACTTTATAAAATCCATCTGATTGTTAGTGTGTCACATAAATGTTGTTTATTTGCATGTTTTGCTTGTTTATCACATCTCTAGATTAATAGATTATTGATGTCAAATAAAGTAATTTGATATGACAGAGTTCGGGCAAAGTTGGATTACCTGGCAGCAAGGCACAAGAGGAAGAGTTGGAGACGCTAAAGAAGAGGAGACTGCCAATATCCGGCACCCTCTGGTGGACGTACCTGTGCAGCCTACTGGTCCGGCTTCTGTTTGAAGGTGGATTCATGTAAGATCTGAAACTCAGATGTTCTCTTTTTATCAATATATTTGTTTGGGGAATAGTCTAGTCATTTTGGGGGTGATGTTCTGTCAAATAGTGGTACAATGTGGAACGTTTTTATCAGCGTTGCTTCCAAAGCAGCGAGGATGATTGAACCAACATCAGAGTCCACAGCGATACCAAAACAACCAGTATTGAATCATCAAAAAACAATTTTGATGTGTGCTCACTAGTAGATATCCCAAACAGATATTCAATTTCCAGCAACAACAAGAGAAAATAACAAGAAGAGGTCAAAAGAAACATTTCAAAGAAACCACGAATCATGCCATGGATCAACCAGACTGGAAGACAACCATCTATTTATTCATCAGGAAATCAACCACTTTGAGAAACGAACCAAACATCTCGAAAAAAAAAAACAAAGGTGGTGAAAACAATGTGCAGATAATCCTGATTAACCAAGATATCCAACGACCATCACCTGTGCAGAGACGTCTGTGCATCCAGATAGGGGGTCTTCAGTCAATGAAGAATATTCAACCAATAGGCGACGATCATCCTTTAACGACAACTTTATCYGCTGTATCATCAGTCAAAGAGTACAGAGTATGGAGAACAGGGCAGAATTTTTCATCCAGGGTAGTTTTTAAGAAAGGGTTGGCTCAGAGGCAGACATTTACCCTTTTCTCCACACTTGGTGCTTGATGTTTGATGTCATGACCAAAAGGTACCAACTAGGYGTGTAACAATATATTGATTCACATAGATACACTTACTAGTCACTTTATTAGATACACCTTGTTGGACCCCCTTTTGCCTTCAGAACTGCCTTAATCCTTTGTGGCATAGACTCAACAAGGTACTGGAAACATTCCTCACAAAGTCTGGTCCATATTGACATGATAGCATCATGTTGCTGCAGATTTGTCGGCTGCACATCCATGATGCAAATCTCCCGTTCCACCACATCCCAAAGGTACTTTTTTGGATTGAGATCTGGTGACTGTGGAGGCCATTCGAGTACAGTGAACTCAATGTCATGTTCAAGATACCAGTCTGAGATGATTCATACTTTATGACATGGCACATTATCCTGCTGGATGTAGCCATCGGAAAATGGGTACATTGTGGTCATAAAGGGATGAACATGGTATTTTTTGGCCCATTCTCTGTAAACCCTAGAGATGGTTGTGCATGAAAATCCCTGCAGATCAGCAGTTTCTGAAATATTCAGACCAGCCTGTCTGGCACCAACAACCATGCCACGTTCAAAGTCACTTAAATCACCTTTCTTCTCCATTCTGATGCTCGGTTTGAACTGCAGCAGGTCGTCTTGGRCATGTCTACATGCCTAAATGCATTGGGTTGCTGCCATGTGATTGACTGATTTGATATTTTCATTTAATGAGCAGTAGGACAGGTGTACCTAATAAAGTGACCAGCGAGTGTATGTTGATTAAATGATTCGTGATTTAATTACATCAAGTGAAAATGACATCGATCTACATCGTCATCAAATGCCCAATATCAATATCATATCAATCGCAGACTTGTGAATTGAATTGAATCAAAACTGTATCGTGATAGACTTTGTGATATCCAGAAACATCATAGCATCCTCCAAATAAATCAATAAATATTGTGATAAAGTTGGTGAGTTACACCCCTAGTCCAACCACTGAGATCTATCAGACAGAACACTCCTTTAAATATGACTAGATGACCCATTTCAGGTTTAATGCAACAGTGTGTTGTCTCTCCAGGTATGCCTTGTACGTGGTCTACGATGGCTTCCAGATGCCGCGACTGGTGCAGTGTGACCAGTGGCCATGCCCTAACCTGGTGGACTGCTTCGTCTCGCGCCCCACGGAGAAAACCATCTTCACTGTTTTCATGGCCACCGCCTCATCCATCTGCATCGTCCTGAATGTGGCCGAAGTAGCGTACCTTGTTGCCAAAGCTCTCACTAGGTAGAAGTATTGAGGTGATCAAAGAAAGGATTTGTTTTTCAGTAAACYAATTCCCTTTTCCCAAGCTCCAAGTCATCACAAAGACTACTGGGACACTTAGAAATGACCCATGAGTGTACATACACTTCCTCACAAAGGGAAATGTGAACCATAAATACYAACTGTGAAATACATGAATTTAATACATTTATGAGTCTTTGGTCATAAGGGTAATGGCTGTAAGGGTTTTTTTCACTACGTACCAAAGGACTAGAAGATCTTATAAAGACCCGAGAGAAAAAAAGAGGGTCAGTTTTTGTAATAACAGAAGTTCCAAAAACTTGTAAGATGGTACACAAGGACCAGTTCAGAGAAACATCATACCCTGAACTGCCAGAACATCCGATAATTGTTCCTCGTCACAAGAATAAAAGCGTGCTTAATTAAAATGGGCAGAATTCTAAAATTTGTTTAAAAAGTAATTCTAACAGCTACTTTAAAGCCTGGATTCATCAAAGATTTAAATATGACCACATCAACTCTTTCTATCTTCTAATAAAGAATTTGTTGGTGGTCCCAAGAGTTCAGAACATGTTTTTATTATCCAGTTAACTCTGGCCTGTGTGTCTGTGGTAGAGGTGTTGAATTTCAACAGGCACAGATCATTTTGCTCACATGTGGATCATTTTTATCTAAGGTTTAAGCTTCAAAACAAAGGGGGTGAATACATATGCACACATCAGTTACGTAGCTTAGTATTTAAAGTTTAACGTCAATAATCTGGATTATTTTGTGTAGATTTCTTGTAATCAAAATAAAAACCCTGATGTGAACTCTGTACATGAAATAAAGAAACTAGATTAAATAATCTGGGGCTCCATCTACTGGATTATAATTAAACTTGATCAGTATTAGAG